ACGTCTCGAATGGCACATTTTCTGGGTTCCTGTCTAATCTTATGGGGTACAAGGAAGCAAAACTCAGTGGCACTCTCAACTGCAGAAGCGAAATATATAGCAGGTACTTCTTGATGTGCTCAATTGTTATGGATCAAACAGTAGTTGGAAGACTTTGGAGTGTTCTCTGACTGTGTGCCCCTCCTGTGCGACAATACAAGTGCACTCAACATGGCCAAATCCAGTCCAACATAAGAGAACCAAGCACATTGATGTGCGTCACCACTTCCTCAGAGACAATATTGAAAAAGGGCTCATCTGTATGAAATTCTGCAGCACAGAAGATCAGATTGCAGACATATTCACCAAAGCCTTGAGCAGAGAACATTTTGAAAGAAATCGCCCGACACTGGGGTTGATAAAACCCAACTGAGAACCTGGTCCCTCAATGATTGGCTACAAAAGAAATGTACAGGTAAAATTAGCTAAAAAGTATTTTCTGGCAAAGTCTAACTCATCTTATACCGTTATAGGTACACACGCATAATTATTACAGAGCAGTTGATGCAGTGCATGCTGGTAAAAAGGGTAAACCTTACACTTGCAAGATCCGCCAGGAAACCTGGTTCTCCTAACACAGGTTAGTAGTTTCTCTGTTCTCTCATGCACAATTTTGAACAGATAAAACAGTGCCACATCATCAGTGTGTCAGTTTCTTTTCTTTGTGTCTTTTGAACCCAAAGGTCTCTCCCATTGGTAAGCGACCCGTTTCCTAAAATTGTCGCATTTTCTTAACCGGTCCCTCATCCATCTTAAATACATCCATCACTGTCACAACTCCTCACATCAAACTTCAAAAAAAAAAATTCTTCTTTCTCTCTTCAAACTCCCAATACCTCCTCTTAAACTCATCACTTCTCACCATAACTGAAAATCAAGAAGCCTCAGGTGTTTCAAGTAACACCCCCATTGAGTCTCTACCAGTTAAAACACCGATGTTAGACTCCTCACTCAACTCCACAACTAACTAAAACCCTAGGACAGAGTCACCACTACACTCAGTCTCCTCTCTTACCCAATCGAGTTCTGTTTCTCATCAGAGCCGCAAAACCTCGACTCCTAAAAGGTTTGTGGCTACGAGCTCTCATCCCGCCTCACCGGAAAAACTGGGTGAAAAGGGTACAGTTGATGAAGAGGAAAATCAGGAGATCTCCAGTCTTCCTATGGAAGAAGGCTCAAATGTAGACCAAACTGCTGGTCCTAAGAATGCTGAATCAACAAAGACAGTTCCTATTCTTGAGTCCACAGGTAACACTCCTCCTTCTCCTGCATTTTTCATGGAGTTACAAGAGAAAAAAACAATGGAAAATATGCCATCTATAGTGGCTGAAGGGGTTATTATCGAAGGAGGTGAGGATGGGTCTGAGCCTTACGGGGAAGAGCCTAAGACCTTGGTAGAAGGTAGAGAGCTTGTGCCTGTTGAACAATCAACATAGGACAATACTACTGGGTACCTAATGAAGGACCTGATCCCTCCTCGGAGGATCCAACTCAGGGGTCCTCTCAAGAGCCCCAGGTCAGTATTGACCCTACTCTCTCTCCTTATGTTTATGCTGAGCCTCTGTATGTGGTGGTGCCTGAGATGAGATCTGTATCTGGTGAAGAGAATGGGGATAATGAATAGGATTTCGATGATATAGCTATTGCTAGCTTTATCCGGCTAGGCTTAGACCGGTTTCTACTTTAGAGCCAACTCCTAAGCGACCCACTACAAGATTGCAAAAGAAGGAGGCTCTTGAGTCCGCTCTTAAGAAAAGTCAAGTCAATCAAAGGAGGAGGAAATTGGTGAAGGATGGGAAGGTTGTACATGAAAATGTAGTGCATGTTGTCACTATGGATGATGAAGTGGACGAGGAACCTGGTTCCTTGACTCACAAGCGCTCACAGAAGCACTCTTTCTCCAAGTCTAAAAAGAAATTTTCTATGAGTATTGAGAGTCCAAACAAGAGTGATGATGTTATCTCTAGTGACAATTTGGTGGAAGAATCTTGCGACAAGATAGTAGAAGAAGGTGGTGAAACATCTGGTAATAAGGTGATGGAAGATTCTGGTGAAAATGTGTCTGAGAAAATAGTGTCTGCAAAGTCCGTTGAGAAGGGAAAAACTGCTCGCAAGCATGTGAAAAGGAAAGTTGATGTCGAAGAGGAACCCGGTTCCTCCAAGAAAGCCAAAGTTGATGAATCCCAGAGTGCTGGGAAAGAAAAATTGAGGAATCGGAAGGTACAATGGGGCCGCACATTTGCCCCTGACATTTTGGAGCTGGCCGGAGTGCGGCAATTGGTTGAAATCTGTGAATTCCAGCAATGGACATACTTGTTTACAAATGATGCTCCAAAAGTTGTGAGGATGAAGTACAAAGCTTTTATGCCGACTTCTTCAAAGTTGAGGATGATCACATCTGCGTACTGGTGAATGGGGTTGACATTGTGATGGACTCTACTTTGTTGGGGTCGATTTTGGGTGTGCCTGCTGAAGGGTTGTCATCAATCCAAGGATCACGCTCTTCCAATTTTAGAAATGCTATTGTTAAGGACAAGGCAATCCAGCAGGGTGAACGTGTGCACAAGAAGGCTCTCCTTCCAATGTACCAATTGATGTTTGAGATGGTGAATAAAGTGGTGCTTCCCCGAGCTGAGAGAAGATCCATTACCTCTAGAGCCAACATGGTTCTCATGGAAGCGCTGGATGGCTTCACTACCATTAACCTGCATGGGATTATGATTGAACACATGCAAAAAATGGCAGAGTTCAAAGATGGTAACCATGGGCTGCCTTATGGGTTCCTTCTCACCAAGGTTTTTGAGTTCTTCAAGGTCCCTCTGGGATAAGCTAAAGTGGGAACTAGGAAGCAAACTTTCTCCAAGACCACTCTCGAAGAATATGAGTGCATTTGATAAAGTTGGAGGAGTTGGAAGCACTTCTACCATTTCTCAATTGATCAACGCTTAGAACAGTGCTACAGAGGAGATCAGGAAGTTAAAAGCAAGAAATGCTATTCTTGAGGGTCAGCTCAGTCAGCTTTAGGAGGCACATGGTTACAGTAGTTCTCAAAGCTCAAAGGCTGCCCGTTTGACTAAGGAGAATGTTGAGCTCAAGAAACAAGTGGAGGACCTGAAACAAAGACTTCTCAATGAGCAAATATCGGCGAATGCTTGAATTGTTCTAGTCCTCAAAACCCTTGCCCCTCCTCTAAGCCCTCTTCCTCTAGTTCTCCCTAAATAGTGTCCCTTCCAGTGTCAAGTTTTAAGTGTCCGATTTTTATGACTTTTCTAATGATCTTTTATCGTTGGTACTTGTTTTTTTTTGTTTTGAATTGTGGATGGTTGCTGGCAACATTGAAACTGCTCCTGTCGTAAAATCCAAATTGTTTAAAGAAAGTTTTTCCCTTTTTGTTGTGTATACATTACTCTTATGTCCCTGTCTTCTATTATATTTGTGTGCACACATGTGGCATGAGTTAACCACACTGAACTTATTTTTGCTTTTACTTGTTTTTCTTCTTTTTATGATGCCGAAAGGGGGAAGAATATGCATAATTGAATAAATGATGTGCATTGATTGAGGAGGAACACAAATTTAGGGGGAATTCAAGGTTAGGCATTGCCATTTCTGGTTCATTATGGTTCTTCGTTGGCATTTCAATTATAAGGAACATGATACACATTCTCAAGTATGCGGAAATAACCAGACTTAAGCTTGAGAGGTTCATCAGTCTTTCAGAAGCTAAAGAATCAACAAGGGGAACAAATGGACATCAGTTCCCCTGGTGATCGTACCAGTCAACTCCAACAGCTGAAAAGTGGCTGCCTGCACACGCAACAGTACAACACAGTGCAACAGTCAACTGCATTGGGAAGGATCTTGTACCCAAGTTGCTTACATCATTCAAGTGATGCCATCAATGTTATATTAACATTAAACCAAAGACAAAACATCACTTGAACACTTAGAGAATTCACTCGAGCACTCCCACAAGAATCAATAAGGGGAACAGATGGACATCAGTTCCCTTGGTGATCATACCAGTCAACCCTCCAACAGCTAAAAAGTGGTTGCATGCATACGCAACAATACAACACAATGCAGCAATCAACTGCATTGGGAAAGATCTTGCACCCAAGTTGCTTACATCATTCAAGTGATGTCATCAATGTTATATTAATATTAAACCAAAGACAAAACATCACTTGAACACTTGGAGAATTCACTCAAGCACTCCCACAGTGATTGATCATCCAGAAAATGATTCTCAAGTGCATCAAGAACAAAGAACAACACTGCTACAGACCAGTTCCCCATATCAAGTTATTATATGTCCTTAGTTGAGTTGTACCTTTGTCAAAGTTCTTACTTGAAATTCCTACTTAGCTTACTTAGAATCATTGTGTAGGAAACCCTTTTGTAAATCATAAACCTTTGCGTTTGTGTCTTAGCTAGAGTTAGTCGAGTTGTAAAGTCTTTGTAGTAGAGGTAATACAAAGTGGCTTGTAATAGGATTGTTACAAGTTAGTGAGCGATTAAGAAGTTAATTCCTAGGTTACAATAGGTTGTAATCTAAAAGTTTGTTCAGTAGTGAAGTTGAAATCCTATATGGGTAGGTCGTGGTTTTTAATCCCGTGAACTGGTAATTTTCCACGTAAAAACTTTCAGTGTCATTTACTTACTGTTGTGTGTGCGTAATCTGTGAAAACTAATAGAGAACATGGTTCTCTATATAGTTTGGTGGACCCTCGAATTCTATCACCCCACTACATTTCGTGTCATATAGGCATCAATTAGACAACAAAAAAAATGAATTATTGAACAATGTTTTACTACGTAGCAATACATATTTAAACCGAAAAGCAGCTATATGAAAAATAATAGGAAGAGAGGAAGGTAGAGGAGCAACATAAGATTAACTACAAAATGCAAGTTTCTATCTGGATTTATATAAACAACGACTATAAATAAGTCCTAACCTGCAAACCGTGAACATTAAGTTGTTTACCATTTGAACTAACTGAGTGCTAAATAAATCGAATCTGCAAACACATGGCAACATACTTTAATTTGTAAAAGTACTTTTGATAACCTTAGTTTATTTAAGACACATAGTTAGAATGAAATGGACTTGCATACAGTGAAAATATTATATACCGGATTAAATAGTTGTTCTTTCTACTCCATATATAGCCCTTGACATAAGATAACCAAACAATTGTAATCGTAATAAGTTATTGCAAGAGTAAGTCACAATATTCGCTTTGTAAAGTTCCTTACTCCACAATATCATATGTAATGATCGGGTTTGCGTTGTCTTTAGATGTTGATAACAACTTTGGCAAATTATTTGAGAGAAGGATATCCAATTTGCACTCATAATAGTCTGAAAATCTTCACTTCAACCTTGAAAATAACATATTGTATGTGGAATAAATTTTTCTGAGGATGATGACCTAATGACGAGTCCAGAAAAGTACATTATAAACTATTTATCTACAATAATGTAATTCACAAGTCATAAATGCAATAATATATATAATATTTTTACATACGCAAATATATTGAAAGTCAATCTTTGCATTATTGATAGTTGTACTTGTTTATTTTTCAAATATTCAATCCACATTTGTGAGATATTTCGATACATCAAATATATGGAGACTTCAAGTTCTTTAGTTGCACTTGTTACATTGACAAATGCAATGCAGCATGCATAAAAATTTACCTTTGATAATTGCATGATATATTTCGCTGCAAGCAGAGCATAAAAGTGTAGAAAAAGAAATGCTAATAGAGGAGGAAGTTGAACTACAATCCAATATCATTTTCTGAGGCTACGATAAAAAGTTAAGGCAATTTAAACTTCATATCAGTAAACTATATATAAAAAATATTTATACATATTATTATGGAATGCGTGATTTTTAGACAAAGAGAAGTAACAGAAAGTTGAACAACTATGCAGTACCAAAATATAAGGCTACAATAAAAATCTAGTACAGTCTAAACACCATAATACTAAACTATATGTAAACAATATTTATAGATATCATTATTGAAGGCGTGACCTCTCTTTTCCCCCTTAGTTAGTCTAAAGATATCAGGATTCATCCAGTTGTTATCCACTATAAGCGCGAAAAAATAACATTTATAGATATTACTGTAGAAGGAGTGAGTTTTGTAGGAAGAGAAATAAGAAGATCGAGTAGGAGGCATGACTTAGGATTAAAAAGAGGCATGTCTTTTGAATATAGGAAAAGAGCAAGATATAAGAAAATTGCAGAATAGATTTTCTGGTTTTACAATATTGCTCTGGAAAAAATATGTTTCTGATCATTTTGCTTTTGTCGCTTTGTTAAATGCATATTTCGGACTTCAATCAGAACGCAAAGGAAATGTGCAGGCCAAATATAGTAATATTAATGTAGGAATAATCTATATATATAATCAACATTTAAAGACATTGTTGTCGAACTTTGCTTCCAAGTAAAAAGCAGTAATGAGGTAAATAATTATAGTATTTCATAATATTTAAACATTAGTTATATTGTGTTAAAATCATATAGTAGTGAATAATATTTGTTTTTTACAAAGTTTAATGTGTTTTAGAATCTTAACATAATGTTTACATCCTTAGTTATTGATTTTGGAAGAAAATTAGAGTATTCCAGAATATTCACACCAATGGTTATGAATTGTGCAAAAAGTATAGTAGTGAAGAAGTTTTGGACGTACCTCAATCTCTTCACGGTATTTTGGCACCCCAATCTTTGGTTTTCCATACCTATACAGTAAGATTAGGATGTAAACAATTTTAGAAGAATAAGAAAATGGCATAAATGGTAAAGATTAGCTTTGAAAGGATTACAAACAGTGGGTGAAAGTATATTTTGTTTTCTAGACTTCATTGGCATTTGGTGAGGAAAACCGTGGCGAGGGAAAAACCTAGAGGTTAGTAGTGAATAAACCAGAGTTTCCTTTCCCCTAAAAAAATAAATAGAACAAAGAAGTTAGAGAGAGTTTCGTTTGAAGAATTTTAACAAAGGTCAAGGTAGCGAGAAGTTGCTGAAGGAAATTAAAAATAGAGATGAAAGATTACAGATGAATCGATAGAGTATGAAAAGTGAGATAAGTAGGGGAACAGTGAGTAACAAATCCCTGTGGGGAGAAAACTATGGTTGTGGCATGTGGGAAGAGGCGGTTGTGTATGTGAAGCGGTAAGGATGTAGCGTGAGGAGTCTTTTGTTGTTGAGCGGTTAATCTTTAGGTTTTAAAGCGATGAATTTTCTGATTTTAAAAGTGAAAAAATACTGAGGCAGAAAAAATATATTTTCCGCCCAATGAGAGTGCCACGTAACCCGGTCATAGGCCCTCTATTATATATTTATATAGATATAGATTTTTACAAAAACTGAGATATCTATCTCTTTGAGACTATCAAATATTACGTGTCATGAGATGTAATCCCAAACATACACCGTACATCTTAGTACCTTAAACTGATAAACATCTTTTCAAAGAATTCTCTTCTTTAAAACCTATCAAACATGATTCTGTTATGAATATATTATATTATGGATATTCATTTAGTATTCCGTTGTAAATAAGCTTCCTGAAGAAGTTTATCCATATGAGACTTCGCCATAAATATATTTATCTATTTAGTACTCTATTGGAAATAAGCCTCCTGAAGAAGCTTATCCTTTCGGTACTCCGCTATGGATAATTATTACCCATGATAGAAGATTATCTATATCTGGTACAAGCAGCTTACAAGCAGCTTACACAGCAGCTTACACAGCAGCTTGCAGTAGCAGCTTACACAGCAGCTTCCTTTCTTCTATAAATAGAGGAGAATTCAGTTCATTATGTACAGAAGTTCGAAGTTTAATAATATATCAGTTTCTCTCTATACTTGCCTTTATTTTACTGTCTTTATTTTATAACACGTTATCAGCACGAGACTCTGCCATCTCGAGCAAATACTTTGAAAGTATCACAGATTATGGATAATCCTCAAATTATGTTTGGATCAAAGACAAATCATGAAGATATTTGTGTAGTTGATAGTGGAACAACTCATGCCATATTCAAAGATCAGAAATACTTTTCTTATTTGCATAAGAAAAAGGCAAATGTTTCTACAATTTCTGGTAATATAAGTTTGATTGAAGGCTCCGGAAGAGCTATTGTATTTCTGTCTAAGGGAACAAAACTTATTATCGACAATGCATTGTACTCCTCTAAGTCCCGAAGAAACTTGTTGAGTTTTATAGATATCCGCCGAAATGGGTATCATGTTGAGACAATAGATGAAATGAATGTGGAATATCTTTGTATTACAATGAATATTTCTGGCCAGAAATGCATTGTAGAAAAGTTACCAACTTTATCTTCTGGCTTATATTATTCAAA